GTGGAAAACCTGCTACAAGGAGCCAAATATGCATTGAGGTCAAGCAGTGCCAGAAGCAGCCTCTAGGAGAAGCCAACGTCCTGGGGTGGAGTGGGGGCGCTGACCAAGGCCATAAAGCCCACAGGAATTGTAGCTCTAGGTAACAGAATGGCCAGCCACACATCCAGCAGGACCAGTGGAGAGGTTGTTATGGATTATGCTTAATGTATTATCCCTATCTCTCTCTAGTCTAGCACTAGATCACTAAACTCTTTGACAATCTGATGGAAGCTGTGGATCTTGTCCCCAAAACAGAATAAACAGGTAAGCAAAATACTGTAACAATTTCAGGGCACTGGCCAACACACTTAGGCCTCTGTTCTCATTCCAGTTATAAAGAACTGAGAAGACACTGGGGAGTGGAACTGGAGGAGCATAGGATGACGTCTACCTCAGGAGGGGGAAGTTGCTGCCAAAAGCAGCCAGAGACTCACTGAGCTCACAGCGCTGAACACCCACACCACTTTGTCAATGCCTTTGGGCTTCTGTTCAGACAGATTTGCCACTGGCTATAAATGCTGAGAAGGAAGAAGGCATGTCCAGAATATCCTGGAGGCCATTCCAGTGCAAAACTCTCAGAAAAATTCCAGAGGAGAAAAGTAAACATGCAGAAGTGGGGACAAACATTTCTCCCTTATGGTGTGTCTACTACAAACCACACAGATGGCTCAACTTTCTAGTCTAAAAAGATATGAGCAACAGACAAGGCAGTAAGCTTCTACTGATGAACAGGTATTAGAGAAGTAATACCAATGGCATAAAAATCAACAAATAAAAAACTCTAAATCAAGTTCCTAATTTAAGTATTTGTAAACAAACAAAAAAACTAGTTGTTTTTTAATTTAGAAAGTAAGATTTAGTCTAGATGTGTGAAAAGACTTTCTGAAAATACTTTGAGACAATGAAGTAAGTGTATAAATGTGTGCTAGGGATGGAGGGAGGTTGGCAAGGACTACGACAATGACATTTGATTCTTTCTTAGACGGCTGTGAGAAAGGAATAATCCTATGACATGGGCCACTCCAGGTATAGGCTTATCTGGAAACAGGGAGGAAGATGAAAGCTCCTTCCCAGTTTGATGTGACTGCAAGGAAGCCAAATGCATCTCTATAAATATAAAGTAGAATTTTCTAACAGTGAAAACTGCCCAAATCTTAGCAGACTGCTTTGTGGGGTTGTGGGTACCACACGACTGAAGAGGCACAAGGGCAGCTGGATGACCTATTTGTCAGGTATGTCGCTATGAGTTGGAATCAGCTCGACAGCAATGGGTTTTTTAGTTATCATCAGAAAGACTCAGGTTAAGAATTGAATCTCTAAGGTCCGTTCTAATTTTAGAATGTTTCCTATCTAACTGAAAGTGTTGTTTAAATAATAAAAATCAAAGGTCTGAGTAACACAACAACCCCACTCAATTCATGCAGAACTTACATGTACTAAAACAGGGGTTGACAAACTATATGTAAGGGCCAGATAGTATTTTAGGCTTTGCAGACCTTATGGTTTCTCTGTCCCAACTACTCAACTCTGCCACTGTAGCAAGAAAGTAGCCACAGACAATACGTAAATGAATGACATGGCTATATTTCAATAAAACTTTATATACAGACAATGAAATCTAAATTTCATATAATTTTCATGAGTCATGAAATATTTTTCTTTTTATTCTTTTAAACCATTAGTAAATCTAAAAACCAACTAAGCTTGTGGGGCATACAAAAACAGGCAATAGTTTGCTGGCCCCTGGGTTAGAAACTTCATGGCTAGTATTCATACTGACCTTCAAAATAGCACAAGTCCAGCAGCTCCTATCACCCTATACCTCAACCCCTTTCCCACTCAAGCACAAATCAAATACTAGGCATAAAAAACCTGCTAGTTCACAATTTACAAATACAACATGATCCCGATCCAAATACCAACAACATTCTTCAAAGAGATGGAAAAACTAA